GTTATGAGCCACAAGTGTAGCGGTGGCGGGAAGATCTTCTTCTTGGGCTTCTGAAGCTGAAGTCCAACGGGTCTTCTTGGAATAGGCCTTCCTACACCTGCGAGGAGAGGCCGATCTGGAGGAGGAGGACAAATATTCCTCATACTTCTACTGGTCGAATTCATATTCGACCTCCATTTCAACCGGGATGGGGATCCGAGGTTGCGACACGTCAGCCTTCGCAGAAAGGCTGTCGGCTCCCACTGTGGTCGCCAGTTTGTTTTCGCTGAAAGTCGCCTTTATCATTGATTTCATTAAAACTTTAGTCATTTACAAATGAATTCAAATAATAAAAATAAAAAATTATAACTCTCTTGAAAATAAACACAATGTCCGTTTATTGACTCTTGCTTGCGTGGGTTCTTCGTCGGTGCCGGGGTTTATCCGTGGACGACCGCGAATCGAATCCGGTTGACGAAAAATTGACGGAGCTCCTACCTCACAAAGGGGGTATTTGCTTGAAGCGCTGAAATCGACCAAGAAAAATCAGTAGCTCTTCTCGAGATTAAGACAAAGCCCAATCTCAAGGAATGAACGTACGGAGCTTCGGATCCTTCGAATGACTTCTTCTTTGTGCTGAAGTTCGCCGGGATCTCGTTGGCCTTTGCTGAAATTTCATGCTCCTTGACTCTTCAATCCAGTAGCACATCGTCCTCTTGATAAAATTCCAGATCTGCAAAATGGAGGCCTTGGGCTCATATTTATAAGCCTCGAATGTAGTTATTTAGATGAGAATAAGTGATTTGGCCTTATCTTCAGTTAATAATAGCCTAACCACGTTTGTTGATAATATCAAGTCGGTTAGGAACCCCTGAAATAGATAAATCCTGTAAAAACCGCTTTAAAACCATCGAAAACACGTCCGGGGGTCAAAACAACGCGACGGACACTACTGACTCGCGGGGGGCGCGGGTCAGCAGGGTCTGACCCGCGCAAGCGCGGGTCAGACAGATCCGACCCGCACTGGTGCGGGTCGATCTGAGTCGTTCGCGCGGCGCGGGTCCGTCGCCTCTGCCGAATTCTTTTCTCTTTTGGTGTTTTTCTTTCTGGGACTTGTACTTTTTGCTACTTTGATTCGCCGACTTTTACACTTTGTTGTGGGACTGCGTCGAACAAGCATGAATTAATTGACGTGCGCGTATTGACCGACGCACACAAACTGATTGACGCGCGCGTACTGACCGATGTTTTCGCTAAAAGTCGCATTTATCATTGATTTCATTAAAACTTTAGTCGTTTACAAATGAATTCAAATAACGAAAATAAAAAATTACAACTCTCTTGAAAATAAACACAATATCCGTTTATTGACTCTTGCTTGTATGGGTTCTTCGTCGGTGCCGGGGTTTATCCGTGGATGACCGCGAATCGAATCTGGTTGAAAGAAAATTAATGGAGCTCCTACCTCACAAAGGGTGTATTTGCTTGAAGCGCTAAAATCGACCAAGCGAAATCAGTAGCTCTTCTCGAGATTAAGACAAAGCCCAATCTCAAGGAACGGACGTACGGGGCTTCGGATCCTTCGAATGACTTCTCATTTGTGCTGAAGTTCGTCGGGATCTCGTTGGCCTTTGCTGAAATTTCGTGCTCCTTGACTCTTCAATCCAGCAGCACCTCGTCCTCTTGATAAAATTTCAGATCTGTAAAATGGAGGCCTTAGGCTCATATTTATGGGCCTCGGGTGCGGTAATTTGGATGAGAATGAATGATTTGGCTTTATCTTCAGTTAATAACAGCCTAACCACATTTGTTGATGATATCAAGTCAGTTGGGAACCCCTAGAACAGATAAATCTTGCAAAAACTGCTTTAAAAGCATCGAAAACGCGTTCGGGGGTCGAAACAGCACGACGGACACTGTTGACTCGCGGGGGGCGTAGGTCAGTAGGGTCTGACCCGCGCTGGCACGGGTCGGTCTGAGCCGTCCGCACGGCGCGGGTCCGTCGAATCTGCCAAATTCCTGATTCTTTCCGGAACTTGTACTTTTCGCTACTTTGGTCGATTCGCCGACTTGTACGCTTCGTTGCAGGACTGCGTCGAACGCGCACGAATTGATTGACATGTGTGTGTTGCCCGACGTGCACAAACTGATTGACGCGTGCATGTTGACCTACGCGCGTGAGCTGATCGACGCGAGCGTGTTGACCGACGCGCGCGTGTTGACCGATGCACGTGTGACGCGCGTGTGTTGACCGATGCGCGCGAACTGGCGCGTGTTGACCGACGCGCGCGAGCTGATTGATGCGCTTGTGTTGACCGACGCGCGTGAGTTGATTGACGCGCGTGTGTTGACCGATGCGCGTGAGCTAATCAACGTGCGCGTGTTGACCGACGCACGTGAACTGATTGACGCACACATGTTGGCCGACGCGCGCGAGCTGATTGACGCGCGTGTGTTGACCGATGCACGCGAACTGATTGACGTGTGCGTGTTGATCGACGCACGTGGGCTGATTGACGCACGCGTGAACGGATTGACGCGCGCGTGTCGACCGACGCGTGCGAGTTGGTTGATGTGAACCTTCTCGATTCGTCCACTCTTTGCTCCGAGTTTCGTGTGGGCTCTCATAGGCAATTTTAGACGCCTACACTTTGAACTTGACCGGTAGGATTTTTGCTACAAGACTCTCAAAGTATAAAAACTTCTCTAGGAGAGTCAAGACTTTGAAACCTTATATGTTTTAGGCTAATTTTCAATTTTCCTCAATAGATTTTCAATTTTCCTTAATAGTGTTGTTGTCATTTAGCATAAATAGTGTGATATAGCAGTTTTTTGGGAAGTTAGTTTTTAGTTAGAAGTGTTTTACCCTTATTGAAAATTATATTAGTTTTGTCATTAGTAATTAATTCATTTGTAATTAATAATGTATTAATATATAATTTTTATTATTTTTAAACTAATGTTTTGGATTATTAACTAATCTTCTGTGTTGGCCTAATGTGAATTTTGTCAAATATGAATTTAACAAGAATTTCCCATCGCATTAACTATTATGTATTTGCTATATAGCATAAAAGTTCTTTGATATGTCTATTAGATCAAAGTTCTAAAATTAGAAGTTAGACTTTTTTAATATGTTTGTTAGATCAATGTTCTAATTGGTAAGGCATAACTAAATTTAATGCATTATCAAGTTTGATATTAGTCTACAAAATTATCACCATGTTATCATCATTAAGTAGAGGTTTAAAACATGATACTATTTCGTGCAATAAACTATATGGTAACCATGAACTATTTCACAGATGAGTTACAGTAAAAACAAATTTATTTCTCAAAGAAAAAGGACATAAAAATACTCAAATTGTTTGACCACGTACAACGCACGTGCATCATACCTGATATTTTAGATACTTAGGATGATTTGAAGAAGCAGCCTCAATGATATGTTGTAATAAGATTATGTAGAGCGTTAAGTAGAGAAGACTCATTATACAAACCATTCAACACTTTGTTAAATATTCTCTTTAGACTGTAAATAATTAAACTTTAACTCAAGACTAAAATCATAGCAATAGACTAAATGTGGGGTGGGGACACCTGTGGTTAAGGACAAAAAAAAAGTCCACAATTCCAAGCTTGATTTTGGTTCAAATTTGGTGAAGCATAATTTGAACATACGCCTTCTACTAACATCTACCTAACAAAACAAATTGTTTAAAACAAAATCTAGAATACATAAATTTCACATAGAACATGAGTTAATAATGCATTCAGATATTTGATTATGTCATGGGTCAAAATTGCTAATCTAAGTGGTCTAACAGGTGGTTGATAGCTCTAATTAATTTAGGGACTAGGTTAGGTGCTCCTCGGCCTGCATTTCTATATAATTACATATAATTTTATAAATAATATAATACATGCCATTTGGACATGAGCATCTTTTAGTTAATTTTATTTGAGTCTATTTCGAAGGCTGGCACAAGATTTAGACTGGCTTTGTTTATTTTTTTGACTGAAAAACAAGGGTTGGACCCTGTTCATTAATATAAACAAAAGTATTTTTACAAAATATGGATACGAACTGTATCCATCAATTGATAGATAGAAAACTTAATTCCTCTTAACTATTGATGTATAACCTTCTTCTCCCAAACATCCATGAAGATGAAGAGAGGGCCTTGCCGTCATTCATCGTTGACATGGATATAGAGGAGAACCAAAGCCGGCTATACATATAGAGAAAAGAAATTAAATTTTCTATAGATCAATTAAGCAACAGAATCACATCACCAAAAGTTATATTTACATCATACAGAAAACTCCCAAGTTTGTTAACTGTTGCAGCGAGGTATTGGTTTGGTTGCGAACACTTTTGCCAACTGAAAAGCTCCCTTCTTTCTGCCTGAATCTGCCCATGTATGCAAAGCAAGAATTGAGTTGTTAAAAATTGATTCAGCAGAAAAAGTTTTCTGTTCAAAGATAAACTTATTTCTTGAAGTCCATATAATCCAACAAGTTGCAGAAAAAATATTGCGCCATATGAGACCATTCAAATTCTTAAGAGATGCAACAGATAGCAGAAGATCCTCAAGAGATGTCGGCCAAATAAAAGGTAACAAATAATTTGCAAAGTGCCGCCAGACTTTCATAGTTGTATTGCATGAGAAGAAGAGGTGGTTTTTAGTTTCAGAGTGTGCACCACATAGAACACAGGTTGTATCTCCTTGCCATCCTTTCTTTATTAGATTATCTTTGGTTTGTAGGCGGTTTAAGGATAAGAGCCAGGTGAAAATTTGTATTTTGCTGGGCAAAATGGAATTCCATGTAACTTTGGCAAAAGCATATTTGATACCTCTGGTTGATAGGAAATCATAAAAAGATTTAACAGTGAAAGAGCCACTTGAAGTAAGAGACCATCTTGGAGTATCTAACTGATTTGTAATACTTTGTTTATTGTATCCAAATAATGCTCTATTCATGATTTTTTTTTTTTTTGAAAAGACAAGTAGGACAACTTAACCAGTCAAGTCCTCAACAACACTTTGTCTCAAAAATAGAGGGATAGAAACAGACCAAAAATAAGAGGACAAACAGTCAACCGACTTAGCTAGGGCATGAGCAACACCATTACCAGTGCGCCTTACATAAGAAACTTTAGATCGGCCAATAGTAGACAAACCAGCGTGAACTTCATCTGCAATAGAAGTCATAGTAGCAAAAGGAGAATGAGAGTTCACCAAGAAGACAACCCTTAGGGAGTCAACCTCCACCACCGAAATCCTCCAGTTCATACGCCAAACAAAGCGAATATCTTCCAGGACAACCAACAGCTTCGTATGATCCACAGTCATAGGACCCCTGAGCCCCATAGAGTAGCAACGAATCACATGCTCATGGTGGTCATAAATAACACCTCGCAACCCAACAACATCTCTTTCTATAGGAACAACAGCATCTGTGTTGAGCTTTAGCAGACTAAGAGCAGGGGGATATCAAGCAGAAGGTCATTTGAAAGGGGTAGCAATATCACGAGAGAGGTCTCGAACTCTATCCCCTTCCTCCACAAAACAGAGAATCCAAGTCACCAAGATCGAAGCCTCCCTAACATCACCACCATGAGAGCGT